GCAAAAAAAAAAAAAGTAAACAAACTTGCATTGGAGTGGAGAACTGTAAATATCCCATAGCATAACACGCAGATGTAAGGTTCAATAACATGCACTTTTTTCATCCTAGTCTGGAAACAGTCTTCTCAGCCTGATGGTTCTTTATTTTGCCTTTCAGTAAATTCCAGAGCAAATTTTCTCAGTTTGAAGTAATGTGCCCACTGCCCCGTTCAGACTGCCAGCAATGAAAACTCAGCCTAGGAACTGTCAACCTAGCTGTACTTTCTAACTTGTAATAGACCAGTTCATAAGCAAATTAGATTTGGTCTTCAGTAACACCTCTGCAGCCTCATAATCTTCACTGTAATTGCACAGATCTGGCTCAGGACAACTTGGCCATGTATTTGGCCCATAAGTTGCACTGATATGTGAATGAGAACAGAATCTTACTTGCTGCCCCATAGCTGTATTGCACTGCCAACAGGAGTACATTGCAGGAAGTTTTGTCACTAAAATATGCTGAATGCCCACAAAGAGCAGATATTTGGAATTAACTAAGTCCATTTTTTTTTTTCATTTCATATTTCATATGCAGAAAGTATTTGTTCTTTTCCATTAAAGACCTGCTTCCTCTGCAAGCATTAATGGACTGAACTGGTCTAATGAGTGGCAGTTCTTTGCTCTACTTAGTTATTAAATCTTCTTTTGGGCACTTCGGGTTATATCTCCGTATTCCTAACTTTCAAAATAAAAGGTCTTCAGTTCAGCTGTAAAATTTACATAACTAACTTTGTCTTGTGTGGGGTTGACCTTTGTTATCCCACGGTCAATTGTTCTAAACACTTATGCAATCATTTCCATCTGTTTTTAACAGGTAACCTTTTTACTTAGCATTTTAAAGCTATATTTATACAGGATGGATTGTAGACTGCTGCTTCAAAACAAATAGTAAAGCAGGAGTGAGACTAGGATGCCTTCTGTAGGGATTAGTAAAAACTAAAGCAACAGAATATGGTCAACAGGAATAGAATAGGAAGGAGGAAGATGTTGGTCAAGGCTGCTTCTGGTTTGCTTCCTTCAGTTGCAAACTTTGGGATCGGGACTCTCTCTTACATGCTTATCAGTACATCTCTGCTGTGTGAATGCAACTCCAACATGCTGCCACACCAAAACAAATCTCCTGAGGAATTTGGGGTGTGCACAGGAAGAGAGAGAGAAATTGGTTAGGTCAGAGGCTGTGGTTGGATAGGATTGAAGATTGAAATATAGGTTTTTAGGGCACTTCTTGTCAAGTCTTACAACAGATACAACTACAATGTTAAAAATGAAGCAAAATGATACATCAGTCCTGCTGAAATAAATCCACACTTGTGATAGTACTTTGTGCCTTTCGTTTAACTCTTTGGGGATAATTCTTTTCAAAAGGGCTTATACAAAAGGTAAGGTATACCCTCCTGCTGTCCTAAAATAATACTGTACGTTACTGCGAAGTAGTTAATATACAAAGACAACTCTGAGAATATTTGCTTATCAAGACTCTTCCTCATTAACAGACAAGCTGGGCTTAGGGGCAGCCTGGGAAAGGAATGGGTGAAGGTTCCTGGATTATATGTGTAAGGGACAGAAGATGAGAACAGGGCAACAGAATGAGGATTAAAATATATGGGAATGTGTGCAGTTGGCAGTGATCTAAAAAGTATGTGGCGAAAAGGAAAGCGTTATACAGAAAATAGAGGAACTGCAAAACTCAGGAACAGGAGATGGGAAGAAAAATTGCTGGTACAGAAGAAGGCACTAAAGTAATATATCTAGAATGAACAGGAAACAAATAATTTTATCTTCTCCAATGCTTTCTGGACAGCACATGGCTTATTTAATATTATGAATTTTGAAGAGCAGAAGTAATGGAAATTAGTCTTCTGGCCTGAACATTTTAAATTGGCTTTTACCCTTTCTAGCTAGGAAGGGTAAAAGTACACTTCATTCAGAAATCTCAGTTGGGGGGAAATGATGGCATAGGTCATTAATGCATACTAAGGAGCCTATTCTTACCTGAATGCACACGAGTCGTGTAGCTACCATGAGCATTAATGGGAATTAAGTGCATCTACTGAAGTGAAAATATATTCCTGAAACTGTAGTGAACAGTAGCTAATGTGCACTCTTGCTTTCTCAACCTAAATATGTTTTAGCTGGTTCTAGAAAAAGTCTCCTCTTCCGCACCAAGAAGGCTTAAATTCACGTTCTAGAATAACTAGCTGAAAAACTCACACAACATTTTAAAATTTATATTGTGCCATCCAGTGTGTACTTTCTCTGTGTAAGAGAGCACTCTAAGCAGGTGAGGGAATGGACTATAGATGTATCTTATCTTGCGAACCTTTTAGGTTTCCAGAAAGTTTGCCCAAGCAGAAGGCAGCCTTGCATAAGGGTTTTTTGTTGTGGAGTTTTGTTGGTTGTTCTGAGATTTATTTCAGATTGCTTTTAAAAAACAAACCATTAGGCTTTAACTTTTGCTATACAGTGAAGATGGGCAAATAAAGGAGCCAGATGCTGATAATATAAAAAAAAAATAATGCAGAGGGTACAAGTAAATGTATGTAGATTCTCTCATGATTTTTTTGAGAGAGAAATTAATAGGCTTTGGAAAAGACAACACAGTTTCTTCCCATTTAAGTTTTTGTTTCAGGACAGGCTTTTAATGCATGTAAAAGCTAGCCCAGTTACAACAAAAGTCTCTGTCTTTTTTCAGGAGAACAGTAAGTACATAGTGACCAGTGACACCAGAGCACAGCTTAGGTTTCTTGAGAAGCTGGATCACATGGAAAAACAGAGAAAGGACGAAGAGGAACGAGAAATGTTGTTACGAGCAGCCAAGGTGAGAGAATTTTATCAGCCTTCAAAAAAAAAATAGCCTTATTGAATTGCCAAGTATCCAAGGACATCTGTGTTTTTCTATTTCAAGCATATCAACCCGCTGACCTTTATGTCAGAACGACAAACCATGTTAGCATGGCTCACCTTTGGAAGGGTGTCTTCAGGTTTATACCTTTTTAAGGACTATTGCTATTCAGTTCACATGAAAGCCTCAGAGTGCATCTATCTCCATGTCCGTATATCTTCACTACATCGTCCAGGGGTTTTGAACTGCTCTGTGGCACCATCTAAGGAGAAGTCCGATCAAAATCAACTGTGGCCATGAATATTCTTAAGATCTTTCAATCTTAAAACTTTACTAGAGCTAATAAATAAATGCCTGTTTGGGGGTGTTCAGCCCTACTGGTAAAGATTTGAGAGAGAGAGAGACTTATTTATATTCATAAACAGGTATTTTTGTTTCTGGGTCTAGCTTGCTTGCTTTTCTCAGTACTTTATGCCATGCCCTTTCAAAATGTTGGTTGTCTTGGCTGACATGGGCATTTCTGCTGGGGAAGTGTGATGCCTTGCTGACTGTATATGCTATCCAGTCAGATTGGAGGGGTGAACCATCTCTTGCTGATGCTCTGATTGTGACCTGGCTGGATCATAAATAACAATCTTTTCCCAAAGTATCTTGTGAATGCTGCTTCTCTATGTGACGTGTTTATCTTGGCTCCATTTGATTTTTTTTCTTTTGTTTAAATAAAAATCTGGAGCTGATATTCTGGAACTGCTTGGGAAGGAGTGGACTCCAGCCCTACCAGGATCTCCTTGTACATACTCAAGAACAAGTTCTCTCTTTCTTTCTTTTCCTTTCTTTCTTTCTTTCTTTTTTTTTTTTCTCTACTTCCTGTCCTTTTTAAGTATCTGCTGCTGACATGAACATCATCATGCCTAGACTGGACCTGACTGACAGAGTTAGCATCATTTTTAGCTTAAGCTTCCTTCAGGCTAGAATGGAGGCAGCAGGGCCAGATGAAGAGAAGGGGCGGGGGGGCCTGGTGGCAGGGTGGCAGGGGAGGGGGGAGCCAATTTAGGTTTAGGCATTCACTCCTGGAGCTAAGAATTTCAATCACAAGAGAGAATTGTCATTTATTAAATATTAATAGATGCTGTGGTGTTTAGATGCTCGTAATTTCTATTAAACATTTTTCACCCTCTCTCTTTTGATAGAGTCGCTCCAATAAAGAAGATCCAGAGCAGCTGCGATTAAAGCAGAAAGCTAAAGAGGTAGGACTTTCAAGTTACCATGCTTGTCTTTGTGTTTCAAGGGAACGTTGGCAGTCCTCTCCTGGCAATTAGGTCAGGGTTTATTTTGCTCTTGCATGCCATTTGTGGAGGCCTTGGGGAAGGACAGGAATTGCTGCAGGCAAGGGCACTACTTCAAATGAGGTCAATGAATTAGGAGCTCTCTTTTTAACATTTTATTTTCATCGCTTAGGCCTGTCTAGAAACGGTTCTTTGTAAATGACAGCAGTGCACTTGGTAGGAATATAATGTGGGATTAGAAAAAAAAGAAACTTTGAGATTTAGCATCTGGGACTGTACAATAGGCTACATTTTTCCAGGGTAATTGTTCGTTTTGTAAATCTGATACTGCTTATAATTCTTTGGCTGGGAGGCGGTACTGGGATTTAGTTTTAAATGGAAAACGCCTCTGGCTTTTAATTTTCTGGGCCCAGCAGTTTTCTGTTCTGGAATGGAGCCCTTGTTTCACACAGTTCATGTTTAGCTGCAGGGGTTTTAGTTTATAGCTTAGACTGGTTAAGCTTTTACTCCCAGAGGCCTCTGCATAGCAACTGTAGAAATCAACAAATAAGTTCATTTATGTCTGCAGCCTTCTCTCAGTAGCTGACTTTTTACATTTCCCAATATCCATTTCCTGACTTTTCTAGCCTGAGAGAAAAAAGCTCCACTAATTGGAGCTTATTTTAATTGAGCCTTAATATTGGATCTCACTGGAGTTGCCCCCAGAGCTACTGGGAACAGAATGAAATGAAAGTACCTAAGGTTGAAGATGTGTGTGTGTGTGTGTGTGTGTGTGAAATTTTTCACTTGACCTACAGATTCTTTTCCCTGCTGAATAAATCATCAAGCCTGTTCACATTTCTGATTAAGGATCTGACAGCAGACGATAATAAAGACAATTGAGGTGTGAGACGTGTGATACCGAGCTGAAGAAATTGGTTTCTATAGTTACTTGACTGATTTCATGCAATTTTTAAGGATCTTTGTACTAAATGAGAGTGGTTTTTTTTTTTTTTTTTTTTTTTTTCTGAGCAACCTTTTTCCTAACTGTGCCTCTTGAACTATGAAATTTGTTGTTGCTTAACATTGCTGCGCTTGGCTCCTAGGTGCCAGCAGCAGCAGCAGGTTATTTATGAATGCTTTAAAGGCCCTTATTGTTTAGATTAATGTAGGAGCTGAGGCAAAACAAATGGAAATCCAGTAAAATAGTCTTAAAATCAATGCTGTGGATTTCTACCAAAGTAGAAAGAAAGATTCATGAAATAAGGCTAGGAAAAGGAGAAATTTGCCTGTCTGTGGGGTTTTTCATTTTATGCTATGAATATTGTCAGAATTAAACTTGCAAATGGGAATATTATCCAGACACTTTCCTGAACCACTGAGATCAACAGTGAATCTGTAATTGCACCCTTATTTGAATCACTTTTCTTTTATAGATGGCTCCCATCAGCCCAATACTACTGGGCAGCTATACATGAGCAGTGAGTCTGCTCTGATGTGCTTTAATTACACTACATTGGAGCAGCCTTGATTAGTCGTCTGCTGGACTAATTACTACGTTCCAGCTGCCTCCAGCATCTCGTGCATCAGCATCCCCATGCTTAAAAATGGCAGCAGGAGCGCTTTACCTAAAGCTCGTTTGAGCTTTAGATAAAGCGCCCCCACCACCATTTTTAAGCACAGGGATGCTGATGCATGAGATGCTCTGGGTGCTTTAATTAGAGCAGCTCTCGCAGTCTCTCTAATTAAAGTGCCCTTCCCCTACTCCAAGCGCACTTGTATAAACTCCCATTTGTTTTTAGGAAGACTTTTTTTTCATGTAGCATTGCAAACCAGATATACCTCCTAGGTATAAGACATTGACTAGTATTGCTCCATGTCTCTATCTCTACCTAACACATTTTGTGCCTGAAAATCCTAAGCTACAGTAGTATTTTTAGAATGGGAAAAAGTGTTTTGGTTTTGTTTTTTTTACCTACTGGATGGCACTGTTAATCCTGGATGTTTTACTTTTGGTACTCTTTCCAAAATGGCTTACTGGTAAACCAGCAAGAGGGCAACACAGGGAAAGAAGAGTCTACCTGAAGAGCCAGATGCATACAAATCTGAATTTGTCTCTTTTTTTTTTTTTATACCTGTAGTTGGCATTAGTTCAAACAGTTTTTGTAGCATCTGTACTATATATCTGTCAAACATATACATCTCACAGAATGGTCCTTTTAATTATCTCGTCATCAGAAGAAGCCAGGCATAAGTTTGCCTTCCCTCTTTGAATAATAGAGATCTTTGCATCAGTATGTGATTCTGGTTGCCTGCTGCTCTGTCATTTCAGTGCTCGTTTTGAAAACGAGGTAACTAGAACTTCACACACGATTCCAGGTACAGCTTGTTAACACAACATAGTGTTTTTCCTAACATTTCTTTTTAATAGATTTCATTTTCGGGCTGAGTGTTGAAATGAATCCACATGCCAGCTGATCAGTTTTTATATTTCCCCCCCCCCTTTTTTTTTTAACTGACACCTCAGAGAGATGTGTGCTGCTTGCTTGAGTTTGCAAAGTTATGTAAATACAAGTGGAATAAGAACAAAGTAAAATCCACTGATATTTTTTGAGAGTGAAATGTCTTGGTAATTCAGCTGTAAATTAAGTTAACTAGGGTGAAAACTTGAAAAGGCTCTCAGTTCTCCCCAAGCTTGCCTTTCTGCAGGTCAGATCCTGCCCCAAACACCTAAGTGTTGAGAGGCCTGGACCTACCAGTGGCCAGTGATATGGCCTGTCTTTCCAATAGCTTCTTAACAAGGACTGGTCTTTCAGCTGCCTTCAGCTGTTTTAGATCGGGGGCGATTCCCAGTTCTCTGTATTAAAGCATGTTGACTTTTCTATCTGTTGAGGCAGATGTGCAAGCAAAACAGTTATTGGAAGCCTTTAGCATCTCTTGAGTGTTTCCCAAAATACCTGGTGCAAAGGACAAAGAGAGAGAATGTAGACAGGATCTCTCCATTGTCTTCTACAATTTAATTTTAATTCCAGTTGTTGTGGTAACAAAACCTTGAAAAGCAAGTTGACACTGCTGGGAGAGAGCCTGAAACCACAACTCGAAGGTTTGTATGGTTAGTTTCATGTTCTGAAGGGAGTGTTCAGCTTTCATAAATGTGGGAAACGCTGTCCTAATTGTTTGATGTGAAACTATGGATTTTTAGCCTTGGAAATGGAGATGGAACAGCTCTATAGAGTCAAAAAGTCACACGGTCAGAGTTTGCTATTTGACCAACTCAGTGGGTCAGTTTGTGGTGCCTAACCTGAGACCCCTTCAGAGAATGTTCAGTAGTCACTGAAAATGGTCAGTTTTAATGAGCAATTTTGGTTTTTCAACTTATTTTGGCAGTGTCTTGTTGTACCATAACTGATCTGTGCTTATATGATGTAAACTTTATATTGCTTTTCTGTTTAATGTGCTGGTTTTTTTCCCCTATGCATCATATGGGCCATGCCACACACTCTTTAACCACCATCAAATCTTTTCTTCTTTCAGTTGGTTGCTTCCCTCCTTTAGACTTTCTCTCTTGCTCTCTGGGCTGCTGGTTGTATATCTACCTGTAGTCCAGCAAATTTACCAGCAGTGAGATTAAAGATCCAGGAAATCTTTAAAGTTGAGGTTGTTTTTAGCACTTTTCATGATGGTAAGTGCATTCAGGCTCAGCTGTTGCCCAAGAGTTCACATCCAATGTAATCTTAAAAATGCTATAAGTATATCGGTAGTGTAAGAGTTAGGTTGTAGCCATTATAGTCTGGAAGTAATGTGAGGCAAGAATTTGAGTGATTTTTTTTAATTGGATCATGTATGTACTTGGGATGAGATCAGATGAGCTTGCAAATGCAGTATACTTCATCAGGGTATAATTGTATCCAAAATCTTGGGAACTGAGTGTGAGTGTGTGTTAAAGATTAAAAGTGATCATTGTCTGTCTTGTTTTTGTTCTTGGGTGATCTTTTTCTTGCTTGCCTCTCTATCTCAAATTTGATTATGCTAATGCCCACTTATTTTCCTGTGCTTTAGCCTATCTAGGTGCAATACATATAACCCTTTTATTTCTCTTCCTAGTCCCAAACCTGTATCAGCAGATTTTATCACCTGCAGAAAATGTGCATTCCTTTCCAGACAGCTGCTGGGCGTGCCTCAAGCCACTCCTTCATCCATGCAAGAATTTTGTTTTTTCTACTATACTTACTAACCTTTTATGTTAACCTTTTGTGTAATAGCATTCCTAAGCCCAGGGAAATTGTACATGGTATTAATTTTATTGAATCTGTTGCATCTTACTTGTGGGGTATGATCTGTTGTGAATATGGGATGCCTGTACTCTGAACCTTAACATTTTATAGGAATGTTCTGCCACACCCACTCTATTCTAGACTCGAGTCTAACAATTTAGTACAGTTTGCAGGTATTTTTCCTTTTCCAGGTGCCATACTTTCAAGCCATAATGGTGCTGACAGCTCTCTAATGAACCTGAACATACCATTCTAAAGCAACTAGAACATTGGAAGCACAAAAATATAATATTGCATGACCAAACACTATGTGTAAATTGCAAATTATAGCACACCTGTAGACTTCTCAGTAGCAAAGAGTGTGCAGTACGAGCCTGAATCTAAAAATCTGTTTCTTCCCTATCTCATCTTCAGTACTCTGCAAGAGTATGGTATGCTGTCTTGGAACATCTTACTTTCCTTTAAAGGGCGCTCTACGGTTTTAAAGTATGTAGAACATCTTAACGTCTTCCAGCTTCTCTGATTTGCACTGACCACCTGTCCCACCCTTGTTTGTGTTAACCAAAGGCCTCAGTGCCATCCACAGCAATGCTTCATAGTAGGAAAGTAATTCAGAGGTTGCTAGTAAAATGAGTAACTCCTGTATATGGGAGACCTGTCTTATTCCATTTCTTCCCCTTCATGGTTTTTATTCAGTCCCTTTTTTTC